AATGGCCTAAAAAGATCAATGAGGCCTCGTATGCAAACTCTTCTTTTTCGTTAAAAAGTCAAAAAGTTATTAAAATTAGTCAAAAAACTAACAACTCATACTAAAAAGTCAAAGATTTTATTTTCTCTCTACTTTTTGCACATCTTTTTGTAAAAAGTCAAAAAGTCATCCCAAATATACTAGTTTTTTTAGCTCATATTTTAACCAAATAATTAAAAAATTACTAAATTAACATGTTCCCAAACGAGACCTGAGCATGAATTTGATAGGGTTTAATCGCCATATGAACAAAAAATTATTCTTCTACATATTCAAAAGAATTGGTCCGTAATAGTTAGGATCATACAAAGTTAAACAAAGTAAATAGTATTTTAATATAAAATATATTTATTATTTTTTTTATTCATATGATTAACCAATTATTGATAAAAATAAAATTAAGTTAATTGTTATGTGAATTAAAATTTTAAGGGAGTTCAATATAATTATGTTAAAATTATAAAATCTATCATATTTTATCGAAACTTTAAAAAAGTCGAGTGTAATTTACTCAAAATTGAAAATGTTAATTTTTTAATGAAAAATTCTATTATATATCACTAAAATTTTTAAGGAAAAATTACAAATTAGGTGTACTTCACAAAAATAAATACTTTTTTTATATATATAGATAGGACAAAAATAATTACTTACAAATGCAAAAATTTATAGTTTTAATAATTAAAACTTATAAACTTTATCATTATTTTGAAAACAAAATCTCACAGTCGCACTGTTTAGTTATTTCCCGAGTTTTTGATTTCCGGGTGATATGATGAGTCTAATTTGTAAGAGAAATGTTATGGTACACATATGGAGATTATGTTATTTGTGAGTTTGATTATTATAAATGACATAACTTGACATTATAAAAGTTATGACTAAAAACATATTTAAAAAAATGGATTATAATCAAATACCATATAAGATACAAAAAAATATATATATATATTGCATCATAAATAAAATAATATCATGATCAATATCACAATGAGTCATAACTACCAATGCAAGAGATCATAATAAAAAATATAAATATCATAACTAAGAGTGCATATAATACATCAATTTGTTTTTGTGGACACATCTTTGAAGCAATAATTTAAACATTTATTATTATTTTTTGATAAGAGTATATATAGCAAATTATTTCTTGACCAAAAAGTGGTGACATATGTTTAGGATTTGTTAGCCATCTCCAACGCTAAACTAAATCCATTACCAAATTCAAATTTGGTGAAAACTTCTCCTTTTTTGTACTCTAATGATTTCATTAAACTTATATCAAATTGAGAATATACAATATGTTTCAACAAGCAGAGGACGGCTGGCACCTTTCAACATTTTAGTGTACATAGTCGTTGAGGAGTTAACCCACCGAACGTTTGGCCGGATGTCCACCCAATCATGCTCTTAGTTGCGAAAGTCCCAAAACAGAGCAAATTCCTTACCAACAGTTGAGGGAAGTATAGTAGAGGCAAATTTTATTTATTTATTTATTTTTGGGCAGGTACTAGCTTCACAAACTACTTGTAGAATAGACTATAAACAATGAGAAAGCATGTGTATTTTGAATGATTGTTTTGGTTCTATATTGTAGTTATTATAGTTGTCTAGTTCAATCAAAAGGCTTTGCGAACATGGGGATCTTTTTCTACTTGTTTGTGTTTTCTTGTTTGAGAATGGAACAATTTGAATGTTGTTTTGTTCAAGCAGATAAGCAAGCTACTGACAGAAGGAAACTAGTAAGCAAATGGCATCCCACGACCAAGGTTACATTGAAGTGGAATTACAGAGTACTTTCCAAATCTGAAGAGCGGCACCTTCTTAAATCCATTGCATCTTTGCTATCAGATGATGATCAATTCAGAGATGCCACTTCCCACAAGGTAATACAACTTCACAAAACAATTTTAGAACTTTGTTTTGTTCTTATTCTTTTTTTATTTGCAATATTTGTCAAAAAACATAAATCTGAAAATCAAATATCGTTGCTTATCATAGATTACTTTTGTTTTGTAATAAGGTTGCCAGATTAGGAGGAAGAGCGCTCATGCATGAAGAGAGAGTGTGTGCTGTAACAATGTAAGAGCTTTGGTTGATGAGCTCCCAACTCCACACTCGGTTGTGGAAATCACTCATTTTCCTACTGGTCCCCTCACAAAAAAAGGATTATGACAAGGCCGAGAAACTAGAAAGGGTGCTTAGGTCTGGTCCTTGTGTTTAAATCATCGTTGATAATCCGTACTTTTTTCTTTTTGTTACCAAAAGACAACCTAAGAGGGGAGGTGAATTAGGTTTTTATAATTAAAAATTAATAATACTCTAATAAAAATTATGACTAGCACAATAGATAAATATAGTTAATGAGATAAAACTAATTAAAACAAGTGTTCTAATAACTATGTCAGTTAATGATTTTAGCACAGTGAAAATGTAAAATATAGCTACAGCAATTTAAATAAAATAAAGAGATAAGGGAGAGAGAGGCAAACAAATTTATAGTGATTCGGTCTTAACTCGGCCTACATCCACTCCTCAAGCTTCACTTGAGATTTTCTACTACGCTCTAGCTTCACGGGGTGCTAGCAACCCTCTTTACAAATTGAGCAATCTTCTACGGGTTTTACACAGACTTTCTAAGGCAAGAATACTGAGTGTACTACACTCTTACAAGGTTGAAAAGAATGTATGTTTGCTTTCACAGAAACCTACAAGAATTGTCTCTCAAAGATAAATATAAAAATGAAGGTTTGATTTTTCTGAAAACCTCACACAAGAGAGATGGGCTTAAAGCTATAAGGCTTAGTGTATAATTTCGGAGAATAAATATGAGTGATTATAGATCAAAGAATATTTTTAGGCTTTTTGGTAACTTGTTTACATTAGAGGCTTTGGTATATATAATGAAAATTATAACCGTTTATAGCCGTTGTATTCATTTGAATTTATAGCCGTTTATAACCGTTGTAGTCATTTGAATTTATAACCGTTTATAGCCGTTGTACTCCATCATTATTAATTTGAATATCTTTCATTCCATTATTACAAATTTGAATATCTTTCACTTGAACCTTTTAAATCTTTTGAATTGCTGCTATACTGGGTTGTTTGAACCTCTGTTTTTAGGCTATTTGAACTCATTATTTAATCAAATATTAAATACATTCTAACAACATTTAGGATAAAGGTTTAGGTCTGAAATAATAGGACAAAATAAAATTTAATTTTATCAAAACATAAAATCATCAAAATAAATATTGATTCTATTTTTATCTTTCAAATAAATCATTAAAATAAACTTTGATTATGTTTTTCTCTTCCAAATAAATTAAAACATAATTAAATAAATCATCAAAATAAATAAGTCTAACACTTTTCTTTTCCTCTTTTTGTGTTTTGTATTGTTGAATCCATCAAAAATTCTTGTTTTCATCAAAATGGCTGAAATGCTTATGTTTTCATATGTGATTCCATATAGATGCAAACATTCTTCTGAAAATTATATAGAAATTTCAACAATTTATTGTCTAGAAGTACCTATGTTGATGATCAAAATTTCACTTCGCTATGTTGTTTCTATTAGCTTGGAAACAGGATATTTCAAAAACATAGGAGAAATGGCAAGATAATTTGGACTTGACCAAGCTTGTTTCAGCTTTTCTTCTCAATCTATCCAATTCTCGTTTCAAGTTTTTCAAACTCTTTAATAAGTTTAAGAGGTTTTTGGGTTTTTGTTTTTTGATCTTTTTGATATGTTTTTGTCAAATATTTCACTATTATTGTGTTTGATCTTGTGGATCGGATTAGCTAAATTTGATAGAAAGAACTGGAGATCTTAAAATGCTCTAATTGTTCTAAAACACTTGTTGACCCATGGACTAGAGAGCGTATCAAAAGAGTTTCAAACTGACAGAGATGTTATCTCAGAGATTGGAACCTTTCAACATATTTCAAATTACACTAGCTGATCGTCTGCCCGATCGACCGATGGTTTGATGAAAAGCCAAATCTCTCCATTGGAGCAGGTGATATCAAAGAGAATTTTTACTCAAATTTGATATTTAAAAAAAAAAAAGAAGCAATACACCGTTAGAGATGCCCTTACACTGTGTTTAGTTGGGGGATTTGGGAAAATATTTGGAAAGAAAAAGGAAAAAGGTGTGTGAAATTAAATGAAATATAAGTATATTTTATGCACATTTCCCCTATCTTTTTCATTTCCCTTTTCAAATCATTTTTCAAAATTTTCAACCAAATACAGCATTAGTGAATGGCCGACTCGTTCAAATTGATAGGGATGTCTTGATATGGATTTCTTTTTTTAGATTAGGATGGAATGTCTTAAACTCCAATAATTCTATAAATATTAATATTATTATTAAAAATCTCTAGAAAGAAATATTGGTGAAATATTTTGTGACCATATATATACTTGTGGAAGTTTTATAATGAGCCAATTTGGAAACTTGGTTAAAAGTCAATTTGGCTTTTAGCTTATTTTAGGTCATATTACTTTTCTACGTTTTTACATGTTTTTTTTTTAAAAAAAAACTAAAGAGTCAATTTTTAACTAACTTCCCAAAACAACCCAATGTAAAATCATTTTAGCCTTGTTTGGAAGGTTGATTATTTTAATTGGCTATTATCTTTTGTCTATTTTAAAATAATTGTGTTTGAAAAGTTGGTTGGTTTGTTTGTAGTTGATTTGGTGATTGTAAGAGAAAAAATGAAATGATTACGGATTAAATGTGACATTTTGTCTTATTGACTATTTAGATATAAATTATTTTAATTTATTTTATCTTTTAATAGATTATTTTAACCCAACCCTCTTTCCAAACACCTCCCTTACAACGTCACTTGTTCTAGTACAACTGAAGTTGCTTTTCCGTTCAAAAAAAACATGAAGTTGCTTTTTGCTATATAACTAGATTGAAGGAGATTGATATACATAATTTCTACTCTATTAGTTTGAAATACTTGAGTTTTTGCATAGAAGTAGAGACTTTAACATAAGGAAAATGTTAAACATAGCCCTCAGAATTGCGATTAATATTTTAAAAATCTAAAAAAATGTATAAAAATATTTTAAATTTATAAATATTTTGACATTTTATATTTATGGAAGATGTACTCTTTGTTTGTCCATTAGACCATCCTAAGGGATAGTTAAAAAAGGCTTGTTAGGAATTTTAGCCAATGTAATTCTAATTTTGAGCTCTAATGGGTTAGCTATTAGGTTAGCAACTTACAGCATCTCCAGCAGCTTGGCTATTCTTTCCCTTTAGCCATAGAAGCGAGCTTGGAAGCGTAAAACATTGCTCCAGCAGACTCGCTCAAGGATCGCTAGAATGGTGGTGAGCTACAGTACCTCGCCAGGACAAGCGAGGTACTGTTCATGAGCCTTTCAATTTTTTATTTATTTTTGCCTCCTAAATTCTGTTTTTGGCGGTAAAATTTTTCCCTCTTTTTGGTGCTAAAATTCTGTCAGTACCTCCCCAAACAAATCTATAGAGAAGGCATTCCAAAACTCAAACTCTCTCATCCTCTCTATCTTTTTCTCAACCTTTCTGCTCAAGGGAGGTAAAGTTTTGTCATTTACGTTTGTTTATGCCATGAATAGTGGATAAGAAATTGGAGAATATGAAAGCAAATGTTCAAATTATTGCATTCTTATTTCATTATTTGTTGATTTTGGCAAAAGTATTACACATTGCCTTGTCATTTGTTCAGATTATGTGAATATATATTTTCTCCTTTGCTTTGTGGCTTCCATGGTTTTTAATCTCATCTCAGAAATTGTTGTAGCAAGTTATGGCTCCAAGTTCTTAATCAATAGGTCATTATTTTACTACCTGTAAAAGAGAAACCAGTTTGTATTTATATTGCACACCATATGTTTGTTGTAATTTCTGTTAGAATAAAGATTGTAAATTGTATCCAATTATTTCTTGTATTAGTTCTTCTATCATATTTGACAAGAATATTCATTAATATCCAATTTTGATTGATTGTTTCATGAAAACAAGGCCTAGGATATTTCAATATAACAACACTCAACACTCCCTATCCTCCAAAGCCTTCAAATGTACTGGATCTCCCTATCCTCCAAAGCTGTCTAAAACAGAGGATTCCACACCACTATTAAATCATTTGAATTGTGCTGTTCAACCACCGGTAAGCTAATGCTTGTGTGATATGATCTTTTGTTGTGAGACTTCGACATATTATCTTAATGCGATGAAGTCTCCTCAAGGACATCATCTTGACACATGCTGTTCAATAATGTGCACTCTTGACCAACATATCCCTTCACACCACACATAAAGAAAACAGACACAAATAAATTTCCATATGGGGTGGGTTTTGTGGGATTGGTAAAATCAATTTTCTTTCCATGTGATTGTTTAATCAGAGAATTCCCATTGGTTTTGGGTTCATGAATTACATTTTTCTTTTCTTCCACATCTATTTCAGTTTTGTCCCCAATATCTTCTCAGCACTTATTGCATGTTCAAGTTTGTTAGTGCTTTCTTTCATCTTTTTCTCTTTCTTAGCATTCTCAGTTTTATTTTTCAATTCAAGTTCTATGTGAGTAATCTTGGTTTTGAAAACATTATTGTGCCAAAGAACCTTATCATCTTCTACCTCAAGAAACTTAACCATTTCAATTAGGAAGGAATTTTTATTTGAAGTAATCAAATCTAAAATTTATTAATTTTTCACTTTTGTTTTTCAGATTCAATCTCATTCACTCTCTCCTTAAGTTTTAGTTTATTGTTTAGGTTTTTGGTCACAACAACACACTTTTGAAGAAGTTTTATCATACATATCAGCCATATCCTTATCTTCGACAGTTATGTGTTAACAGTTAACACCAATATCTATCAAAGATTTAGTCTCATTTTAAGACATAACTATCACTTTTTTGAGGCACACACTTTGAGATATAACCAAAAATACTACTTTAATGCATAATCAGCATACTTTGAGACTATAAAAAAACACCTTATTGAATTATAACCAAACATTACTTTAAATTGTTATCAAAACTAACCTAATTTGATTTGACATAAATAACTCTATCTTATCTCAAATCATAACCAGCATCATTTTTTTTTTTTTCCAATAGGCATAGCCAATATCACTTTATGACATAATCAACCCAATATTGAGGCAAGTTACATACCCAAGGACCTTGAATTTTGTTAGCTTCCATAATGAGGTAAGGAACACTGAAATATATGTTTGTATTGAAATGATAAGAGTTTTGAATTCTTACTCTTAATTTAATACAAAGCAAACTACATTTACTGAAGTCACATTGTTATTCTTACAAGTGATTTAAATTCCTTCAATTGAGTTGTCGTTTCATGTTATAATTCTTCATAAGAACTCTGAGCATGTTTTGTGATAATTCACCAGTTAGAAATGCTTATGTCCATTTTGTAATGGCTTTGGGTAATGCTTGAAATCATGCTTACGTATTTTTTATACCTCTTCATTTCTAAATACTTCTTCATTTTGAATTTTTTTTTTATGTGTTTGAAATTAGATTTTTCTGCTGCAATTTTATTGTACAGTAGCTTGGATATTAAATTTTAATTCTTATATATTATTCAATCATAGGTATGGATTCACAACAAGATGGTTACTTTACCAATCTTTTACAAGAAAGGCCCAACATTGATGAACATTATCTAATGGAATCTTAATATTTGAATCAAAACACTCAAGTCTTCGCCCAAGAGTCTCAATTTACTGCTGAAATTGAATCTTTGTCGAAGAAACCTCAACGTGGAGGAAACTTCACAATTGAAGAAGACAAACTCCTTGTATCGGCTTGGCTTAATATTAGTTTAGATGCGGTACATGGGAATGAGCAAAAACGCTCTACCTATTGGAAAAGAGTGTGGGATTTTTTCCATGAGCACAAGAAATTTGAGTCTAATCGAAATGAGAATTTTCTTATAAATCGATGGTCAACCATTCAGCTTGCCATGAATAAGCTTTGTGGGTGCTACGCCCAAATTGAATCATTGCATTAAAGTGGCATAAATGAGGATGACAAGGTATTGAATATTGTACATTTACAATTATTATTATTTGTGAAGTTGCTAATTATTATTTATTTATTTAACTTTCAGATTTGCAAGGCGAAAATTATGTACAAGGAACTCAAGAAATCTACATTCCAATTCGAATACTGTTGGATTATGTTAAGGGATCAACCAAAATGGGTGGTAGAGTCTGAGAAGAAAAAATAACCAAAAAGACCAAGAACAAGGACAATCTCTTCTCCTTGTACTCCGGATTCAATAAATCTAGGGGAAGACGATGTCTCACCTAATGATTTTGTAGACTTGGAGAGACTAACCGGTAGGAACGCTGAAAAGGAGCGATTGAATAAACCAAAGAACAAAGAAAGCGTAAATTCGAGTATTACAAAAACTTTGGAGGACATCAAGCAAGACAAAAAGAAAATGATTGACAAGAAAATTGAAATGATTGACAAAGTGTACGTTCAAAAAGAAGTGGAACTTCGTATCATGCAAGAAAAACATGAGGTGGAACTTCAAAAGCATGAAATGGAACTTTTCAAAGAGGACGAAAGAGTTATTTTGATGGATCTCAGTGGCTTGCCGGAAATCCAACAAGATTTTTATCGTGCTCGGCAGATGGAAATCATTAAGAAAAGAAGAACGAATTAGTATTCATTCTTTCTTTGCTCTTTATGATATTTTGGCTTTTGTCTAGTAGGCTAGAAACTTGGTATATGATATTTTGGCTTTTGCTTTTGGCTCTACTTTTGTCTAGGATAGATGTTGAACTCAGCAATGTTTTGGTACACAATGTTAGTTGTCTAATCTGATGCTTTTTGTGCTGTGTTGTTCTACTGCTTTTTGTGTTGTGTTGCTGCCATTTTTGGCCTGTTTTCTAATCTATTTTTGTTGCTATTTTGCTGGTGTTTTTGGGCTGTTTTGATGGCATTTTTGGGCTGTTTTGCTGCTGTTTAATGTAAGTACTAATATTTACTTGTTCTTAGATTTTGAATCCAAAAATAGGTTGTGGTTGAGACGGGGCAACAGCTAGTACTAATTGATTAATAATTCTGATAAAGGGTTTTATGATGATCTCTACATTTTGAATACTGGTAAGTTTATGGATTAGTCAAAAAGCCACTCATCGAAAATCACAGAAGCTGAATTATTTTGTCACTGTTTGGGGTAAGTTTTTATTTTTATTTTTTATTGTTTGATTAGTAATTACAAGCTTATAATGCTACATTTATACAAGGCATCAGTGTGGGATTTCTCTTTTCAAATGAGTTTTATTTATATAAAGCCTCTCTTTTCAAATGAGTTTTATTTATATAAAGCTCAGTGGTAGCTAAAGCATGGGTTTTATTGTTCATAATTTTACAAGGGCTGTAGATTTGCACGAATTCTAGATGATTGATCCCAGTTTAGTAATAATTTGATTCAGAGAACAAAGTGGAAAAGAAAAAGTTACTACTTGTTTCTTCATCTTTTGTAGAGACTTTTGTCTGGAAACGTGCTGCAACATTAGGCTGTCCACCAGCAAAGCGTGATAGCCATACTTGTTCATCTTGGAAGAACAAAATCGTTATAATTGGTGGTGAAGACTCATATGATTATTATCTCTCTGATGTTCATATCCTTGATGCTGGTATCAATTCTTCTTGAAATTTCATATATTGATCGCCAAGATAGAATCGAAATTATAACTTGAGGAAACTACTTGTCAGTGGGTTTTTTAAAAATTATTGTTTATTAATGATAAAGTTTATCACTGCATAGTTAATACTTGTAAAGTTTATCATTAATTTGCTAATATTTTTTAAAATATACATTGTCATGTAAATTTCCCTTATAACTTTCATGTTTAAAACAAAGATACCCTTGTGTGGAGCAAGCTGTTCAAAGGAATTTTTTTGAGTACCAAGTTTTACTAATGAGGTTTTAATGTTAATATTTAATATTTTAATATTTTAAAATTCTAAGAAATCATAATTTTACTATAAATATTGATTTGTGATTTAGATTTAATGTTATATAATAATGAATCTCAACCATTCAATATTTTTTTTTTTTTAGATAAAATTTTTAAGAGCTTAGGTTTTTTATTTATTTATTTATTTATTTTAAGCACAACTCTCCCTTAATAGGCTACCATGATAACCATATAATAAAAAGGCATATAGAATTACAAAATTACACATAAATTAAAAGCATATACTGATTACATTCAAAACTAATAGCATACTACATAAAATGAAACTTCAAATTCAAAGCTTTTACATCTCGCTGTGTAATTGCCACAAATGTTCGACAAGGTCCGATTGGAGATGAGAATGTGTTTGCCTGTCTCTAATGTTATGATGACATTGAATGAATTCCATAAGTTCAGTAGTTCTCTCTTGTAACACTGTTACATGGGGACTATCTTCGATTTGATCATAATTGAAGTTTTTTACTCCATCGTCATCACGCTCATCCTCAATGATCATATTATGTAGAATTATACATGCCTTCATAATATATTTAAGCATTTTAGTATTCCAAAAACGTGCCGGTCGACGCACAATTGCAAATCGTGCTTGAAGCACTCCAAATGCACGTTCTACATCTTTTCTTGTCGCCTCTTGAGCTGCAGCAAAAAGTTTTTTCTTATTTCCTTGAAGAGAAGGAATTGTTTTCACAAATGTTGACCATTGTGGATATATACCATCAGCGAGATAGTATCCCATTGTATATTCATTACCATTGATGATGTAATTGACTGCAGGAGCACGCCCTTGAGCAAGTTTGGTAAATACAAAAGACCTTTCTAGCACGTTGATATCATTATGAGACCCAAGTAATCCAAAAAACGCATGCCAAATCCAAAGATCATATGATGCAACAGCTTCCAAAATAATTGCTGGTTCATAAATGTGACCAGTATACATACGTTTCAACGCAGTCGGACAATTTTTCCATTTCCAATGCATACAATCAATGCTCCCCAGCATTCTAGGAAATCCACGACTTTCACCAACCGCTAGTAGTTAGCGATGTCATTGCTATTTGGTGACCTCAAATACTCATTAGAAAAAATATCAACAACTGCTTTAACAAAATATTTTAAGCTTTCTATTGCAGTGCTTTCTCCAATTCTCACATATTCGTCCATAAAATCAGCGGCTACTCCATAAGCAAGCATCCTAAGTGCAACAGTTATCTTCTGAAGGGAAGACAAACCAAGCTTTCCAGCACAATTTCTTTTTTGGAGAAAGTATGGATCGTGCGCTTCTACTGTAGCTTGAATTCGAAGAAAAAGTGAACCATTCATCCGAAACCTCCTTCGAAATAGCTCAGGAGGATATACAGGCGATTCAGCAAAATAGTCGAGAAAAAGTCTTTCATGACCTTGAATATGATCACGATGAATGACTTTACGACTTCAAACAGAACCACGGCGTAAGCTTGATCCTATCTCACTATCTAGTAGTTCTTCATCCATAGTAACAGCTTTGAGCATCTCCAAATCATCATCAGATTCAGAGAAGTCAGAGTCATTTACAAGCATATCATAAAGAGAATTGGAAGCCATAGAGAGAGATATGGAAGTTTGGGTGAAGTAGAAAATTGAGTTGAAGGTAAGATCAAATGATAGGGAATGTCTTATTTATAATGGAAAAGTATAAAAATATGACTGTTGTAAAAATTTGAAAAAATGTGACCATTGTGAAAATATGACCGTTGTAAAAATTTGAAAAAATATGACCGTTGTAAAAATATGACCGTTGTAAAAATTTGAAAAAATATGACCGTCGTAAAAATATGACCGTTACAAAAAATATGACTGTTAAAAAAATATGACCATTTGAAAAATATAACAGTAGAAAAATTTAACTTTCACAAAAATATAATTATATTTAGAAGAATGAAAAAAATAATAATTTGAAAGAAGTTAGTTTTTTTTTTTTTTAGATTGGAAAGAAGATAGTTAAAGTATAAAGTAGATAGCCTTATTGGAATGTATATTAAAAAAATGACTAGCTAAAATAGTAAAGTAAAATTTTGAATAGTTATTTTAACTATCCTTGCTGGAGATGCTCTTATTAGTCTAGTTTTTTAGTGGCTACAATTGAAGAGTCCCAGAAGCTCTCCAAACAAATATGTATGTATATATCTTGAATTTTTGTATATTTATGTCTTGAATTTGGGATTTTATATATTTTATATATGTATATGAGTATGTAGCAATTTTATATGTTCTTTCAATTCTGTTTGATGAATTACGGAATAACTTATTTTGTATTTTGTATTTTTTTTCTCCTTATTCTACAGGTTTTGTATGTTTGTATGGGCAAATTTATTATTATTGTAAATTTATATTAGTAAAATATCAGTAATTAGTATTTTTTATTTTAAAAATTAATTAAATTAGTTTGAATGATTAGCTAGAATAAAGAGTAGGGTCACGTTGTAGTGTGCAACCCTTAAAAGGTTGCACACCATATGCACCTTCATTATTGACCATTAGATTACATAAGTTGATCTTGACGGTTGAATTATTTAATTTTGAAAAATTTGACACCGGAGCAACCGGTTGACAGATCTATATTCTCTCTACTTTCACTTTCGTCTCTCTCTCCGTCACCCCCTCTCTCTCTCTGTGTTGCCCCTTCCTTCCATCTCTTCCCCTCGCTCCTCTCGCTCTCTTCTCTCTCTATTGCGCTTATTCCTCTCTCTTTCTCTGGTTCGATTGATTGCAAGCCGAAGTGGTTGTTCTGTTTAAAACCCTAATCTAACCCAGTGAGCCTCTGTTTGGTTTCTAAGAAAATAAATAAAATGCAGCAAGATGAAGAATAGAAAACAGAAGTGAAATACGAAATTTATGAATGCAAAACATCAAATGAGGGTGGTCCTATTTATAGATGTGAAGGTGGCTCTTGGTTTTGAATTAAACAGGTATGTAGCTCTTGGTTTTGAATTGAACAGGTATCATACCTGTTGGGTTTTGAATTTGAATTCAAACAGATTTGAATAAATTCAAACAGATAGTAAAACGGGAAGGGCCCTGTTTGGGTGTGCACTAATTCCAAAACAGTTTATTTCTGTTTGAAACCGGGAAGGGCCCTGTTTGGATGAACAAAAAATCCAAACCAATTTAATTTGAATTATGGATTTTATTTTAACAAAAAATAAAATTAAATTCAAATGTTTTTGGCCCAACCACACACCAGCGCCCAGCCCGCCCGGCCGTACGGATGGCGGCGCGTTGTGATTTTTGGGTCCAATGGGTCTAGCCCATAACCTCTCCCTCTAAAACACTTGGGTACCCCTTGGGGCACACCCCAAGTATCTCACCCTAAGCCTTATAAACCCTTTCAAAACCTCCCACCAAATCAATGTAGGACAAGCCAATTTACAACCTTAAGGAATTTCCACCAAAACTCCATTTCCATGGAGCACACTTTGGCTTCAATTTCCCATTCACTCGGTAATGGTTTTGAGCAACCAAATATACCACGTGAATCACAACGCGGCATAGAACGCGTTAGCACTTTGACCCGAGTAAATCGACACTCGGGGCCCACCTAAAAAATAGACCAAACTTGAGGAAAAATTAACCATTTCCAACACTCTTGACCAACATATCCCTTCACACCAAACAAAGAAAACAGACACAAATAGATTTCCATATGGGGTGGGTTTTGTGGGATTGGTAAAATCAATTTTCTTTCCATGTGATTGTTTAATCAGAGAACTCCCATTGGTTTTAGGTTCATGAATTACATTTTTCTTTTCTTCCACATCTATTTCAGTTTTGTCCCCAATATCTTCTCAACGCTTATTGCATGTTCAAGTTTGTTAGTGCTTTCTTTCATCTTTTTCTCTTTCTATTCTCAGTTTTATTTTTCAATTCAAGTTCTATGTGAGTAATCTTGGTTTTGAAAACATTATTGTGCCAAAGAACCTTATCATCTGCTACCTCAAGAAACTTAACCATTTCAATTAGGGAGGAATTTTTATTTGAAGTAATCAAATCTAAAATTTATTAATTTTTCACTTATTTTTTTCAGATTCAATCTCATTCACTCTCTCCTTAAGTTTTAGTTTATTGTTTAGGTTTTTGGTCACAACAACACACTTTTGAAGAAGTTTTATCATACATATCAGCCATATCCTTATCTTCGACAGTTATGTGTTAACAGTTAACACCAATATCTATCAAAGATTTAGTCTCATTTTAAGACATAACTATCACTTTTTTGAGGCACACACTTTGAGATATAACCAAAAATACTACTTTAATGCATAATCAGCATACTTTGAGACTATAAAAAAACACCTTATTGAATTATAACCAAACATTACTTTAAATTGTTATCAAAACTAACCTAATTTGATTTGACATAAATAACTCTATCTTATCTCAAATCATAACCAGCATCATTTTTTTTTTTTTCCAATAGGCATAGCCAATATCACTTTTTTTGAGGCACACACTTTGAGATATAACCAAAAATACTACTTTAATGCATAATCAACATACTTTGAGACTATAAAAAAACACCTTATTGAATTATAACCAAACATTACTTTAAATTGTTATCAAAACTAACCTAATTTGATTTGACATAAATAACCCTTATCTCAAATCATAACCAGCATCATTTTTTTTTTTTCCAATAGGCATAGCCAATATCACTTTATGACATAATCAAACCAATATTGAGGCAAGTTACGTACCCAAGGACCTTGAATTTTGTTAGCTTCCATAATGAGGTAAGGAACACTGAAATATATGTTTGTATTGAAATGATAAGAATTTTGAATTCTTACTCTTAATTTAATACAAAGCAAACTACATTTACTGAAGTCACATTGTTATTCTTACAAGTGATTTAAATTCCTTCAATTGAGTTGTTGTTTCATGTTATAATTCTTCATAAGAACTCTTAGCATGTTTTGTGATAATTCACCAGTTAGAAATGTTTATGTCCATTTTGTAATGGCTTTGGGTAATGCTTGAAATCAGGCTTATGTATTTTTTATACCTCTTCATTTCTAAATACTTCTTCATTTTGAATTTTTTTTTATGTGTTTGAAATTAGATTTTTCTACTGCAATTTTATTGTACAGTAGCTAGGATATTAAATTTTAATTCTTATATATTATTCAATCATAGGTATGGATTCACAACAAGATGGTTACTTTACCAATCTTTTACAAGAAATGCCCAACATTGATGAACATTATCTAATGGAATCTCAATATTTGAATCAAAGCACTCAAGTCTTCGCCCAAGAGTCTCAATTTACTGCTGAAATTAAATCTTTGTCGAAGAAACCTCAACGTGGACGAAACTTCACAATTGAAGAAGACAAACTCCTTGTATCGGCTTGGCTTAATATTAGTTTAGATGTGCGGTACATGGGAATGAGCAAAAACGCTCTACCTATTGGAAAAGAGTGTGGGATTTTTTCCATAAGCACAAGAAATTTGAGTCTAATCGAAATGAGAATTCTCTTATAAATCAATGGTCAGCCATTCAGCTTCCCATGAATAAGCTTTGTGGGTGCTACACCCAAATTGAATCATTGCATCAAAGTGGCATAAATGAGGATGACAAGGTATTGAATATTATTATTTGTGAAGTTGCTAAATATTATTTATTTATTTAACTTTGAGATTTGCAAGGCGAAAATTATGTACAAGGAACTCAAGAAATCTACATTCCAATTCGAACACTGTTGGATTATGTTAAGGGATCAACCAAAATGGGTGATAGAGTCTGAGAAGAAAAAACAACCAAAAAGACCAAGAACGGGGACAACCTCTTCTCCTTGTACTCCGGATTCGATAAATCTAGGGGAAGACGATGTCTCACCTAATGATTTTGTAGACTTGGAGAGACCAACCGGTAGGAAGGCTGAAAAGGAGCGATTGAATAAACGAAAGAACCAAGAAAGCGTACAGTCGAGTATTACAAAAACTTTGGAGGACATCAAGCAAGACAAAAAGAAAATGATTGACAAGAAAATTGAAATGATTGACAAAGTGTACGTTCAAAAAGAAGTGGAACTTCGTATCATGCAAGAAAAGCATGAGATGGAACTTCAAAAGCATGAAATGGAACTTTTCAAAGAGGACGAAAGAGTTATTTTGATGGATCTCACTGGCTTGCCGGAAATCCAACAAGAATTTTATCGTGCTCGGCAGATGGAAATCATTAAGAAAAGAAGAACGAAATAGTATTCATTCTTTCTTTGCTCTTTATGATATTTTGGCTTTTGTCTAGTAGGCTAGAAACTTGGTATATGATATTTTGGCTTTTGCTTTTGGTTCTACTTTTGTCTAGGATAGATGTTGAACTCAGCAATGTTTTGGTACACAATGTTAGTTGTCTAATCTGATGCTTTTTGTGCTGTGTTGTTCTACTGCTTTTTGTGTTGTGTTGCTGCCATTTTTGGCCTGTTTTCTAATCTATTTTTGTTGCTATTTTGCTAGTGTTTTTGGGCTGTTTTGATGGCATTTTTGGGCTGTTTTGCTGCTGTTTAATGTAAGTACGAATATTTACTTGTTCTTAGATTTTGAATCCAAAAATAGGTTATGGTTGAGACGGGGCAACAACTAGTACTAATTGATTAATAATTCTGATGAAGAGTTTTATGATGATCTCTACATTTTGAATACTGGTAAGTTTATGGATTAGTCAAAAAGCCACTCATCGAAAATCACAGAAGCTGAATTATTTTGTCACTGTTTGGGGCAAGTTTTTATTTTTATTTTTTATTGTTTGATTAGTAATTACAAGCTTATAATGCTACATTTATACAAGGCATCAGTGTGGGGTTTCTCTTTTCATATGAGTTTTATTTATATAAAGCCTCTCTTTTCAAATGAGTTTTATTTATATAAAGCCTCTCTTTTCAAATGAGTTTTATTTATATAAAGCTCAGTGGTAGCTAAAGCATCGGTTTTATTGTTCATAATTTTACAAGGGCTGTAGATTTGCACGAATTCTAGATGATTGATCCCAGTTTAGTAATAATTTGATTCAGAGAGCAAAGTGGAAAAGAAAAAGTTACTACTTGTTTCTTCATCTTTTGTAGAGACTTTTGTCTGGAAACGTGCTGCAACATTAGGCTGTCCACCAGCAAAGCGTGATAGCCATACTTGCTCATCTTGAAAGAACAAAATCATTATAGTTGGTGGTGAAGACTCATATGATTATTATCTCTCTGATGTTCATATCCTTGATGCTGGTATCAATTCTTCTTGAAATTTCCTATATTGATCGCCAAGATAGAATCGAAATTATAACTTGACGAAATTATTTGTCAGTGGGTTTTTTAAAAATTATTGTTTATTAATGATAAAGTTTATCACTACATAGTTAATACTTGTAAAGTTTATCATTAATTTGTTAATATTTTTTAAAATATACATTGTCATGTAAATTTCCCTTATAACTTTCATGTTGAAAAAACTATCCATAATAGTGTCTGTTTTAATAGATACCCTTGTGTGGAGCAAGCTGTTCAAAGGAATTTTTTTGAGTACCAAGTTTTACTAATGAGGTTTTAATGTTAATATTTAATATTTTAATATTTTAAAATTCTAAGAAATCATAATTTTACTATAAATATTGATTTGTGATTTAGATTTAATGTTATATAATAATGAATCTCAATCATTCAATATTTTTTTTTTTAAAGATAAAATTTGAAAAAACATGACTGTTGTAAAAATTTGAAAAAATATGACCGTTGTAAAAATATGACCGTTACAAAAATATGACTGTTGAAAAAATATGACCATTTGAAAAATACGACAGTAGAAAAATGTAACTTTCACAAAAATATAATTATATTTAGAAGAATGAAAAAAATAATAATTTGAAAGAAGTTAGTTTTTTTTTTTTTAGATTGGAAAGAAGGTAGTTAAAGTATAAGAATATTTTAATAGAAGATAGCTAAAGTAGATAGCCTTGTTGGAGTGTATATTAAAAAAATGACTAGCTAAAATAGTAAAGTAAAATTTTGACTAGCTATTCTAACTATCCTTGCTGGAGATGCTCTTATAAATTTTTTGATAATATGGCTTTGGTGAATATGTTAATGTAATAGTTAATTTGTTGAAAAATGTAAAATAGAACGAGACCAGTTATAAATTATAATAGTTAACATTATTTTTTTAAAGAGTTCATTAGAGATGCTCCAAGAGCAACTCCAACCATGCTCTAGTTAAAATATAAACATTAAAGATTGAGGCCTCGAATGTGTGGAGCGCGAATGGCGCGAATAGTACGGAAAATATTATCTTACCGGTAAGAGAATAAAAAAAACCCTTAAAAC